CATACAGGTAAAATCATAATCTGTTAGACTAGTTTCCAAGAAAGAAAACTAAAAGAACAGAAGATTTTTACTATTAACAGAAACACATTTTTTGGGGGCAGGGAGCGTGGAGAAAGATGAGCAAACTAAGAAGAAATCTAGATAATTCATCCAAATGGAAAGGGAATTTAAATAAGGATCTTACAATGAAAGCCCTATTGTTTTCATTCATTAGAATTTCATTGGGAACTTTTGCAAATTAAGTTTTATTTCATTTACAAGAAATAAAATGAGTACTTGTGGACTTGTGAAATCATTGAGAAGTGAGAAAGTAAAAATAATAAGGCAGAACCTCTGTACAGAATGATGATTAGGGATTTGGAATTATGGATCAGATGGGAATCCAAATATATTTGGATAAGTCGATTGTAGAAAACAGGAACTATGTCACTTCCTCAGACACTTGGAAAACAATGAGAGGGATTGTAAAGAGGCAGAGAAACTGCAGAGTCAAGAAAAAGGCAAAATTTTCTAGTTTACCTCCACGAGCACTGTCTTTGCAGTAAGGTGGTGGTATCTTTAGGAAGTGGTGCCCACTTGTTCTGAAGAGTATGCTAGGGAGTCAAAGGAGTTAAAAATAAAAAGATTACCAAGAAGCAAGTGTGGCCCATTTGGAGGTTAGAGACACTATTGGTTTTCTCTTGCTGCATAACAAATTACCACATGCATAGACACTTAAAACAACATCCATTAATTAGCTCACAGCTATATAGATCAGAAGTCCTGTGGGACATGTTCAGTTCTTTGCTCAGGGTCTCACAAGGCTGAAATCAAGGTGTCAGCCAGGATCTGGGGGAGAATTCACTTCCAGGCTCATCTAGGTTGTTGGCAGGGTTCAGCTGTATGACTGAGGACCCAATTCCTTGCTGTTAGGCAGACTACTTCCAGCTTATAGTTCCTTGTCATAGGTCTTTTAGCATACCCTCTTACAAGTCTTCTCACAACATGAGACACTGACACCTTCAAGGCCTATAGAAGACACTTTGTGTCCCAGTGCCCTCATGATTTGAACCTCTCTGATTACCCATTCCACTGACAGCCAGAGAAAAACTGCTTTTAAAGGACTCATATGATTATTTTAGGGCCTCTGGATAAACACCCTTTTGTTGTTTTTGTAGTTGTTGTTGTTATATCCTGAGTCAGACCCGACTCATAGTGACCCCTCCTTGGGTTTCTGAGGCAGTATCACTACGGAAGTACATTGCCCAACCTTCATTCCGAGGAGTGGCTGGTGGGTTTGAACCTCCCGCCTTCTGGTTAGTAGTCAAATGCCTTAGTGCCATTAGCTCTATTATATACATGAACATTCTCATCCCTTTCGGTGAAGTCAAAGTCAACTGATTACTAACCTTTGTTTAATTGAAGAATCCTTTTTTGCCATTTAATGTAGGGGGATAACATCTCATCATATTCACAGTCCAGGGAATTAGAGCAGTTACTTACTGGGTGGGGGCACTTTATAATTCTGCCTACAACAGGTAGTTTACATTTTTGTAGACTAGCTTTTATAGTTCTATTTCTTAAAAATTCGAATGAGCCTTGAGAATTTTCTCAGATTTTAAAATATAATACTAATTTTTTTTTCAAAAAATATTTTTTCCAGCCACTGTAAAATAAATGAGCAATTCTCTGACAATTAATATATTTAATCATTTTCAATTAAAAACAAGTTAAAAAATCGTAAGCCTTGTTTTTCTAGCACTATCCTGGTGTTTGTTTTGTTGAGTTGTAATGCAGTAGGTTGATAGTCTTTGTGAATTATACATTGTTGGTATTGTTCATGAGATTCCATCTTTGTTCTGGCCAAGATTCCAGCAAAGTACTGAAAGAACTCTTAGGAAGTAAAGGGAAAATGAAGTTTAAGTGAGAAAATGTTGGAAAAGAATTTCAGAGGAAAATGAGGCAACAAACCACTAAGAGAACTTTGTTCTTCTAATTGTCAGATAATACTTTGAAAAATTTTAATCTAACATGTAATTGGATTCTTTTTCAATTCTTTCAATTAATGTGTTCTGGATATTCAAGGTCTGTTGTAATAGAATATGTAATAAACTAGATAATAAGAATCAAATGTATTATTTTTTTTATATATACTTACACTATGAAGGGGCTTTGGTGGCGTAGTGCCTAAAGGCACTTGACTGCTAACCAGAAGGCTGGTGGTTCAAACCCACCAGCCACTCCTTGGAAGGAAGATGGGGCAATCTACTTCCATAGTGATAC